AGCTGTATAACACTCAGTATTCTGTGACTCCCCAGCTCCAGGATACCTTTCCACCTGAGCTGTGTAACCCTCAGTATTCTGTGACTCCCGAGCTCCAGGATACCTTTTCATCTGAGCTGTGCAACACTCAGTATTCTGTGACTCCTGAGTGCCAGAATACCTGTCCCATCTGGATCAGCCCAAAACACTTACACACTTCACATCTACTTCTGTCCTTGGTGATCATCCTGCAGTCCTGGCATCTAAAATACACCGGGGTCCTCACTGCAACTGTGTTGCATCTTCACCAATGACCTCTCCTGACCCCTCTTGAGGGACTCCTACTCTGTCACACACAGTGCCAAACCTCAGCTGCTCTCATAAGCCCTTCTGTTGGGGGGAAGTCCTGTGCATTTGTCAATAAAGACTGTCTGGCCAATAGGGAACCTAGATAGGAGGGACTAGGAGTCCAGGAGAACTCTGGGAAGGAGAAACACAAGAGAATCAACATGTAACGCCATGCGGTAGCAGCTCGGAACTATTCTCCGGTAAGAGACATACTTAGATTAACAATTATGGGGTAATTACTTAAAGCAGAGCTAGCCAGTAAGAGACAAGCAAGGCCAACAGCTTCATAATTAATATAGCCTCCTGTGTGTTTATTTGGGACTGATGTGGATCTGGAACCAGGCAGGCGGGAAGGCTCCTCTCAAGGAAAGCTTCTTTTAACACCTTCAATCTGCAAGGTTCATGTAGTCAAAACCAATAACATATGGGAGATTCTTACAAATTAACAAACTTGGTTGCCACATTGAGTTGTATCCCTGATCCTCTCTGGACCACAGCTCTGCATGCTGACCCTGAGAAAATACTTTCTAGAAGATTTCACCTCAATGATGCCTGGTCTCATGGCTGATGTTTCAGTCCCAGATAATGATCATCAATTGTCCCAGTAAATAAAAGGTTTCACTTCAGTGGTACTGAACTCTTTGTAATCACAACTTATTCATCCCTAGATGACCAAAAACCATGGGTTCTTAATTCAAGACGTCACATTAACAGCCCTGATAGAGCCTTTATGGGACTCTCAAGCTTCCCTCTAACACTTCACAAGCCAGGCCTCCATCATAGTCTACACACTGGAGAGACAGAGATCTCAGTAGCTACTGAGTCCAAGAAGCTGAATGCCTTCACAGTCCAATCTGCTGCTAAAAGCTCCCTAGTATTGCTGGGATTGAGTGTATGATGGATGGCTGAAGAGGCAGGTGTCTGGTATGAGAGGAATGTCTCAGCAACAGCCAGATCAGGAAGAAGGGAAGGAAGGTGCACACACACTCATTCTTCCTTGGACCTCTTTATATCTGGACTACACACTGCAGGTCCCACCCATTTTGAACATAGGTCTATCCTGTTAATTCTCTCCACAAACACCCTCACAGGCAGGCTTGGGTGTGTCTTCTAGGTGATTCTAAATACTGTCAAGTTGACACTCAAGACCAACCACCCTCAGAATCCTAGCAAAGTACTCTGATCATTATAGCTATTGACTGCTGAATAATTTAATAAACAATGAACAAAGCAATTATCTAACTAGGTCAATGGTAAGTGCCTAAAAAATGATAAAGCCTGTTAACTCTCTAAGGAATATCTCATAGGCTATTTATTAGGAAAGAGAAACTCCATTAACATAATACATACTATATAATATACAGTATTATATTACTGTATAAAAATAATTTTAACAATGGCCTTTAAAGATATTGTCTGCCAAAAAGTTATCAGCAAAACTGTTAGGACTTAATGATGAGGATGTCTTAGAGGTAAAAGAGTAAACACAATTACCCTTAACTGGGTTTGGTGGCATAAGCCTATAATCCCATCTACCCGGGAGGCTAGGGTAGGAGAATTTCAATTTCAAGGCCTGCCTGTGATACAATGAGTTCAAGGCCAGCCTGAAGTTAGCAAAACTCTGTATAGGAATAAAAAGTTAAATTTAAAACGGGATTTGGGAATTGAATGTAGTACACATCTTTAATCCCAGCACTTAGGAGGCAGAACTCTATGAGTTTCAGACTAGCCAGGGGTACAAAAGAGAGCCCTTGCCTCAAAAACTCCAAAAAAGGAGGTTTGGGGATTAACTTGTTGTAGAGTTACATGCCTACCATCTCCAAGACCCTCTGTTCAATTACCAGTGCTGTGACTTTTTAAAGATGTCATCATCAGAGTTAATAATTATATAATTCTCATTACTGTGGAGTTTCATTGCTCTTCAATATTTTAGTCCTCAGTTCTTAAAACATTCAGAGAAAGGTTGTCATTCCTCTGTCTTAGCTTTTTTCAGCATAGGCATCATAATACCCTCCAAATATTTTCACAATTATTTTTAAAGTGAATGCCTAGAAATGATCACAATACTCAAAATTTAGTTAACTAATATAAAATGCCTACCTAGATATTATTAAAATAGGCTATGATACAGGCTTTCCCTATGTAAATTAGACTAATCTCAAACTCCTGCTCTCAAGTGATATTTATTTATTTATTTAACATCCCTGCTGCAATTTCTCTTCCCTCCTCTTCTCCTAGTCCCTCCTACCACCCTCTTCTGTTCCCACTCCCCAATACACTCCTCCTCTGTTTCTGTTTAAGAAAGGGCAGATTCCCCATGAATATCAACAAAGCAAGGCATATCAAGTTGCAGTTAAGACTAGGCACCTCTCCACGTGTTAAGGCTGGGCAAGGCTACCCAATATGAAGATTAGGGTACCAAAAGCAGGCAAAAGAGTCTAAGAGCCCTTGCTCCCACAAGAGGACTACACTGCACAAGAATCTTAATGCCTCAACCTCCTGAATAACTGTGACTATGGGAAGGAAACATCACTCTTGGCTTCATTAGGTACTTTTCTCATTGCTACAGTCTAATACCTGACAAAAGCAATTTAAGGAAAGAAAGATTTATTTTGGATTACAGTTCAAGGGGATATCCATCATACCAGGAAAAGGCATGGTGGTAGGAATGTGAGGCTTCTGGTCATATTGTATCCACAATCAGAAAGAAGGGAGCAATAAATGCTCGTGCTCATCTCACCCTCTGTTTTCTATTCAGAACTTGACCTGAGCTCATGAACTGGTGCTGCCCATATTCATAATGGGTATTCTTACTACAGTTAACCTCACAATTCCTCACAGACATGCAGAGACTTCTAACCTAATCTAGATTAATCCTTCACAAACATGCACAGAGGCTTGTCTCCTAGGTGATTTTAGACACTGTCTAATTGGTAATCAATATGAACTGTTACACTGGATACAGATCTTTTTCACATGAACTAGTATCAAGCCAAATATACCTCTGTCCCAGTCTAGTATATAGGCAATTGGCAATCTTGTACATATACAGTTACTTGCTTAATTGAAAAATTGGCTTTTATAATCTAAGAAATGTCAAGTCACAGTTCAAAGGCATAGAACAAATTGGTAAGCATTAAGGTGTAAAACTGAGCATGGTGGTACACACCTAAATCTCACTCAGGAGACCCAGGCAGGACGATTAAGAGTTCAAAGCTAGCCTTGCCTACATATCTTATCTCAATAATAACAATAATAATAATAATATTAAGTTAGTTCAAGGCCTGCTAAACTTTACATCAGTATTTCATTAATTGCCTTTAAGTAGTTCACAAATGATATTAACAATAAAAGGCGAGACAAAAATTATGAAGAGGAAATTCATTTGTATGATCAATCTCATTTGCAGTGTATAGAGCATTAGACAGAAAAATCTAGTGGCATTTATATCTTGGAGGTAACCAGAAGCCATTTAACTGGACTTAAGGCCTCCTCGATAGGAAGGAATACATGCCTGGTACTATAAAGTTAGCTATGACTGGTAAGATCATGAATCCTAGAGAAGTTACTACTGTCACTTACCTAAACCAATATAATTCCTAATAGCATTCTAAATACTGATCCTTGTGCTCGCAGCTAAGTGTAGTTCTCACCCCTCATCAAAGAAGCTTCTTTTTGAAGCAGATGGAAATTATTACAGAAATCCATAACTCGTCAAAATGTAGAGAACATTAGGCCATGGAGTGCCCAACCCCAATACACACATCTAAAATGCAACCCCTATACTTAAGGCTAAGGCAACATTGCAGAAGAAGTGGCAGAAAGAGTGTAAGAGCCAGAGGACTAGAATTTCTCCTGGGATGGAAGGAAGGAAGGAAGGAAGGAAGGAAGGAAGGAAGGAAGGAAGGAAGGAAGGAAGGAAAGAAGGAAGGATACAACATGGTTGCCTAAACAGGACCTGCATAATGACACCACCAGTTGACATACCAGTACATATGGGGAGAAAAAAATCTCACAAGGTCCTACCCTTAATGAAAAGCTAGAGGTAATTAATGACTACTGAGCAAGGGATAAGTTCCCTGACAGGTTATCCAATCTTTCCTAAACACACATACAAACAACACTAAATGGACTCAGCAGTTTGTGTGTGTGTGTGTGTGTGTGTGTGTGTGTGTGTGTGTGTGTGCGCGCGCGCACGCGCGTGCATGTGTAAAACAATAAAGAAGAAAAGGTCAATAGTTTCCGGGGAAAGAGAGAGGAGAGAAGGAGGGATGGAAATGATTTAAATACAGTAATCATATGTGAAATTCTCCAAAAAAAAAAGAACATTTTGATTCTGGTCTTGGGATCTTCAGGTAAGTAATGTCTCCTTTATGAACTTCAATTTCATCATTACAAAATAGAACATACCCTGATTTGAACAATGTATAATATATACATATATCAAAACATATATCCCATGAATTTTGTGTCAATTTAATTTTTGGGGGGGTTTTTGAGACAGGGTTTCTCTGTATTGTTTTGGAGGCTGTCCTGGAACTCGCTCTGTAAACCAGGCTGGCCTCGAACTCACAGAGATCCGCCTGCCTCTGCCTCCCAAATGCTGGGATTAAAGGCGTGTGCCACCAACGCCCGGTGTCAATTTAAATTTTTATTTTTTTCTTTCTCTCTCTTTACATGCCCTAGGCATGAAACAGCTTTGGCCACCAAGCCAGGCATCAACTAGGATGAACAAAGGAAAGCCATCTGCTCTGCCCTGGCTCATATAAGAACAACACAATCAACAAGGTGTCTCTTTGTCCATTGCCAGGGGTTCAATTTAAATTTTTAATGAAAATATAAAGCTGGGTGGTGGTGGTGGTGGTGGTGGTGGTGGTGGTGGCGGCAGCGGCGGCAGCGGGGGTGCATGCCTTTAATTCCAGCACTCCGGAGGCAGAGGCAGGCGGATCCCTGTGAGTTTGAGGCCAGCCTGGTCTACAGAGCTAGTTCTAGGGTATCTAGGGCTGTTACACAGAGAAACCCTGTCTCAAAAAAAAAACAAGAAAGGAAGGAAGAAGGAAGGGAAGGGAAGGGAAGGGAAGGGAAGGGAAGGGAAGGGAAGGAAGAAGGGAAGGAAGAAGGGAAGGAAGGAGGGAAGGAAGGAGGGAAGGAAGAAAGGAAGGGAAGGGAAGGGAAGGAAGAAAGGAAGGAAGAAGGGAAGGAAGGGAAGGAAGGAAGGAAGGAAGGGGGAGGGGAGAGGAGGGGAGGGGAGGGGAGGGGAGGGAAGGGGAGGGAGGGGAGGGGAGGGAAGGGAAGGGAAGGGAAGGGAAGGGAAGGGAAGGGAAGGGAAGGGAAGGGAAGGGAAGGGAAGGGAAGGGAAGGGAAGACCAGACTGGTATACATACTGAGTTACAAGCCAAACAGAGCTACATACATAGTGAGACACAGCCTCAAAAAACAAAGAACACTATATATTATGAAAATAGCAATACTCTTAAACATAGTCTATGGATACAACTCTATCCTTATTGTAATTATAGCCGGCTTCTTTGTACAAAGTGACAATTTAATCCTAAAATTCATATAGAAATGCAGAATACTCAAAACAATATTGAAAAACTGGGTAACTCATAATTCCTAATTTCAAAACTTACTATACAATTGCAATCATCAGGACAGTCTGGTATTAGCACAAAGACAGATATATCCAACCAACATAGTAGACTACAGACCAAAAATAAGACCTCACATTTGTGATCAACTTATTTTTGACAGTTAACAAATTTACTTAACAAGGAAAGAGTTTCTCATCAAGTGGCATTTGAGATAGTTGGACAGCAATGTTCACAAAAAAGAATGGAGTTAGGTATCTGTCACCCTTCATGCCTAGAAATAAAATGGATCATGGACTTAATTATAATTACTTGAAACCATAAAACTTTTAGGTATGGAGAAACTGGGGCTCCCATGCACTACTGGTGGAAACGTAAAACAGCATAGCTACTGTGGAAGACAATCTGGCACTTTCTCAAAAAGTTGCTAACTCACTGGACGGTGGTAGCACACACCTTTAATCCCAGCACTCGGGAGGCAGAGGTAGGCAGATCTCTGTGAGTTTGGAGCCAGCCTGATCTACAAAGCTACATAGAGAAACCCTGTCTCGAAAAATCAAAAAAAGTTGCTAACGCTAAAATAGTTAACACTTATAATACTATCCAGCAAGATAAATAAAAATATGTAGATACAAAATTCTGCACATGAATGTTCATGATAATGATAGGATAATGCATACTAAGCAAATTGAAATGAATCAAATGTCTATCAATGGATGAGTGGATAAATAGACAGCATATCTGTAAAGTGAAGCATGACGTAACATGACTGAACCTCAAACGATTATGGTAAATTGTTGTAGGAATTTAGCAGTTACTATATCCGGGGTAGATATTAGAATGAGTAGCTGTTTTGTAGAAGTACTTTGACCTTAAAGAATCCTTGTAGAAAACAATGATTGTTTCCCATGGTCTGTAGAACTGTTTTTGCTGAAGGGGCATTGCAGCCATCCCATGATTTTAGTCACGTGATGCCTCAGGCAAACCCAAGGCTCTTGAATTATTGTGTATTGCAAACAATACATAATAAAGTACTAGAGTCATGGAGGCATGTGATGCTGTCCTTTAGTAAGACACGTAAATTAGATTAGGGGCCTTGGTATGAGGAAATACTTTGTGTAGTAATAAATAAATACGCCTTTGTATGGCTGGACAGGGTTCATTTCAGAAAGGCTGGACCTCCCTGCTGCCACATAGGCCTTAAAATTTCATCTTGGAGTGCCTTCTTTCTTCAACTGACCCTCTCTACACAGTGAACCCTGACGCTAAATAAAGAAGTTAATCACATAGACCACATACTGTATGTTTCTACTTGCATGAACAGTCCAGAATAGGTGAATATATAGACAGAAAGTTGACTCATCGTTATAAAGACTGGGATCAGGAGAAATGGGTAGGATGGTTCATCATGGAATAAAAAATGTACAAATTCAGACTGTGATGAGCACTATATGATTCTATAAATATGTTAAAATCACTGACACATTATAAATAGATGCATTTTATGGTATAGAAATTATAAATCAATAAATATGTTAAAATAATAAGATTATATTTTAAGGCCTCTTTCATTTCTAAAATAACTATAGGCAAACTCATACATGTTACATTTTACCAACTAAAAATGCACACCTAACTCTATAGTGACAAAACAAGGAAACTAATAAAGCAATAATAAAAAGAATAATTTTGAAGTTTTAATATTTACATAATACCAGCAGACTCCTTTGAGAAGACACCTTTGAGACCAACTATTTAAAGCACACTGTGAAAGTAAGAGAATCTCAAGACTGGGTAGATGTCTCAGTATATAAGAGCAATTGCACTCCAAGCATAAGAGCTGAGTTCAAATACCCAGCACATACAAGTTCAACCAGCCTAGCCTAAACGACAATTTTCTGGTCCAGTAAGAAGCCCTATTTCAAGGGATAAAGGCAGAGATGATAGAGGAAGACACTCGATGTCTTGCTCCAGCCTCTCTGCATGTGCACACAAAGGCATGCCCTCCCCCACACACTCACATGCATGCATCATACATACCACACACCCACACACATAGAAAAAATTAAAACAAGACTCTCACAGACAGTATTTCAAGTAAAAATTGTTGCCATAAATAAATAGCAGGTGGCAGATGAATTGGTTAAACATTATGCTTAGCTGTTATCTTTCTTTTTACCCTCACTCACCTATACAGACTAACTAATAATATCAACTATAATACTATAATATCCTATAGAAAGCCAAGGACACATCTTATCATTTTTAAATTTACATATATATAAAATGTCCTGTTGTAAGGCCACAGTGTTTATGATACCTACTGACTCAGCTTGATAAGAAAGCACACGGAAGATACCCTTCTCCACAGTGATCTTATGCATGATCAAATTGGCCTCAGTGTAGCAGCTCTGTACTAATTTGACATATAATTTCTCCAGATCCTGGAAAATAAAACAACACAAGCATGAGACTTACCACAGATATTACTAACAATTGTCACAGCTGAAAATCAGTAGTAACTTACAGCCATGGCAGCTTGAAAAAATTCATCAGCAATTGGAGCATTTCCAGTATCCAACCATTCTTTTCCTGTTTTCATATTCATCTAAAAAACAGAAGTTAGGAAATTATTTTAAGACTTCACACCTTTCCCAAATTGGTTGGAAGATACTAGAGAAAAATTTTGATCCTGTATATTGAGACATAATGCACAGGGGGGAAAACAGCACTTATTAGAGTTCTGTGCTCTACTTTGAATTTCAACTTAAGAGAAGTGATCTTGAGAACAACAGCAATAACAAAAATTAATCTTTGTGCTGATTACTTTAATGTCAACTTGCCACAACCTACAATCCCCTGAGAAGAGTCTTAATGAGAAATTATCAAGATCGGATTGGCTTGTAGACATGTTGGGATATTCTCTGGGATGTTAACTGGTGTAGAAAGACCCACCCCATCCCCTAAGTAGGAGCTCTTGGACTTCATAAGGCAGGAGAACACTAGATGAGAGTAAGCAAGCAAGGATGTATATATTGTCTGTTTGATCTTGACTGTAGATATAATATGAATGATTGAGTTCCTGCCTTGCCATGGACTGTGATCTGGAATTGTAAGTCAAATAATTATTTTCCCCAATACATTGCTTTTTTGTCTATATATTTCTTTTTTTTTGTTTTTTTTTTGTTTTTGTTTTTTTTTAATTTTATTTTCCAGTTTAAATTTAGATAAGAATCAAGGTTGCTTCACAAGTCAGTTCCAGGTCCCTCTCCCATTCCCTCCCTTCCTCCCGTGCCCTCCCCCCCTTTTGTCTATATATTTCATCACAGCAACAGAAATAATTTGAGGTGTATTGGTATTAGATCTTCTTTGAACATCTGATAGAATTCTGCACTGAAATCATCTAGGCCTGGACTTTTCTTGGTTGGGAGACTATTGGTAACTGTTTCTATTTCTTATGGGTTATATGTGTAGTTGTTTATCTGTTCTTGATTCAATTTTGGTATGTGGTACCAAAATTGTCCACCTCCTTATAGTTTTCCAATTTTGGGGAGTACATGTTTTTGAAGTATGACCTGATCATTGTCTGGATTTCTTCAGAGTCTGTTGTTATGTCCCCCTTTTCATTTCTGATTTTGTTAATTTGGATATTCTCTCTCTTTCTTTTGATTAGTTTGGGTAAAAGTTTGTTTATTTTGTTGAATTTCTCAAAGAACCAACTCTTTGTCTCTCTTTGCATTGTTTTCTTTGTTTCTATTTTATTGATTTCACCCTTCGATTTGACTATTTCTTGCTGTCTACTCCTTCTGGGTGAGTACGCTTCTTTTTGTTCTAGCCCTTTCAGTTGTTCTGTTAATTTACTAGTGTGGGATTGTTTTCAGCCTCTTTATATAGGCATTTAGTGCTATGAACTTTCCTCTCAGGACTGCTTTCATTGTGTCCCATAAGTTTGGGTATGTTGTGCGGTCATTTTCATTATATTTTAGGAAGTTTTTTATTTCTTCCTTTATTTCTTCCTTGACCCAGTGTGGTTCAGTTGATCATTTGTCAATTCCCATGTGTTTGTGGGCTTTCTGAAATTAATGTTGCTGTTGAATTCTAACTTTAAGCTGTGGTGGTCTGATAAGGTACAGAGGTTTATTCCAGTTTTTTGTATCTGTTGAGGTTTGCTTTGTTACCGAGTATGTGGTCTATTTTTTAGAAGGTTTCATGAGGCGCTGAAAA